TATAACTGTATCGGTCAAAAGATTTACAGTTATGACCCTGATAAGAAAAACAAAAACATAACTGTATTGTTTGGAATGATTAAGGGCAACCACATTTACACAATGAATGACAACATCAAGAGCATAGCACAAAAAGAATTAGAGGAAAGTATGAAAATATGTGCTTCTACTGACTTTCGCCTGAACAGCAAAGATAAACCAGTTAAATATGTTTTTTTCAATGGCATTGATGACATAATGGGTATAGTTGAAGAGAATGAAGATGAAGAAGAAGTAAATTTAGTTAGTGGCAAAAACTTGAATACAGTTTTTTGTGAGTTCAAGAGGGCAAAGTATGAACCTAAAATCATAATGGGAGCAGGTGGCAATGTAGCATCACTCAAGGTAAAATTTAATGGATTAATGTTGAATATCAGAAGCCAGAGTTTGATAGACTGTGCTGTTGATACTTGTATTGATAGTAGGAATGCTGATATGTTTAATAAAGTAAATGAGGCATTTTTTTAATTTCAATAAGGGTATGTTCAATCCTAATCACAAGTCATATTATCATAGTAATGACTTGAACATATTTTCAATGGCACATAGCATAGCTCCCAGTGGATATTTTGAAAGCATCATTGAAGGAAAGAATACTCACATTGAATTAGATAGGACGAAAGCCTACACTAAATCTACAATGGATGTGTTTGAAGTGCCTGTCTTTTCGGAATTTGATATTTGGAAAAAGTATGATTATTCAAAGAATGATTTTAACAAGATGAATGCTCTGACATTATATCTTGTTAAAAGCAAAGTGAGAAACCTATTTTTCAATAGAACTTATAACTTGATTTACGGTAAGTTTTTGAAAAAATATGCTGAACATGTTGAAATTATCTATTACAAAATTCCATCTAACACATACAAAGTTAATTACAGAAAACTGATTAATGAACTGTGGGAATTAAAACTGGATGAGGATGAGGAGAAAGATAAATTGAAAAAGAAAATGATTGCTTGTATCAACATTGGCTTATTGGAAAAACAAACTAACAAGGCTAAAAAGTCCATAGTGTTTTCAAAAATGGTTGATGCCTTTTACTATCAAGAAAAATACGGTGGTGATATAAGTATCATTACTGAAACTAAATGGGATGGTGAAGTGAATGATAATGATGATGATTGTTTGCTTGAATTTGATGATAAAGGCAATGCCATTGAACCTGAAAGTGATGAGAAAGAATGTGCTAAAATAGTGGATGAGTGTAAGCACTATGTGCTGAACATTTCCGATACAAAAACTTTACTGAATGGATATAAATATGTGAAAGAACTGATTTTACAACATCATAATTTTGATATGAATGAGGCTTATGAAACACTTATGAGGGATAATGTAATGGTGTATTCAGTCAAAACTGATGCCTTTGTGATTGATAAATGTAATCTGGGTAAAGCAAAGGATGTGTTGAAGTTTGGTAGTGAGATTGGTGAATGGAGGTGGTCTGATAATTTCAATTTTCCCAGCAAGGCATGTTGTAAGCAACCCAGTATTCTATGTGATATAACTGAATATGAAAATAAAACGGGTGATGTCAAGGATGAATGGAACACTGATGAAATCGTTGATGAACATATTTTGAATAATAAAAGGTTGCTTATCCAAGCAGAGTTCGCTGGTTCAGGCAAGAGTTATATATGTAAGCACTTACAAAACAGAGGTTATAAAGTCTTGTTTGTAGTCCATAGCAATGAATTAGGGCAACAGTGTGGGTGTGAATGGGCGACTGTCAATAAGTTTTTTAGCATATCATTTGGTGATGAAAGACTTACAAAATTTGATTATTCAGGTTATGATGTCATAGTGTTTGATGAGATATATTTTCATAATGTAGGCAAGTGGGCTTTGATATGGGACTTTGAGAAGAAAAATCCTGACAAGATTGTATTAGCAACTGGTGATACAAAGCAATTGAAAAATCCTGAGAGTGTAAGTAATGTAATTGCTTTTGAAAAATATGCTGACCATTGTATTAATTTGATTTTCAAAAATAATATTATGCTTTATGAATGTAAGAGGTTGAAGACTGAAAAAGATAGACACAAATTAAGAGATGTCAAATGAATGATTTTTGAAGGCACACCTTTTAGAGAAATTATTGATAACTATTTCAAATGGACTGACAAGATAGAAATGTATGATAATAATATTGCTTATACGAATAACACCTGTAAAATGGTGTCAAGCAAAATCAGAGAAATGAAAAATATAACTGAAGAATATGTTATTGGTGAGGAAGTTATATGCCGAAAATATATCAAGACTATGGGCACAAAATTTAATGTTAATTTTAAATTTAGGATTTCAAATATCGTTGGGGATATTGTTGTTTTACAAAATGTGGCAACAAATGAGAAGCAAAACATAAAAATAGAATTGTTGAGAAAACATTTTATATATGCTTACTGCTACACCGCACATTCAAAGCAAGGTTGTAGCGTTGATGGTGATATAGTCATATATGATTGGAATGAATGGTATGTTAGTAAGCATTGGTTTTTCACTTCCATAACTCGGGCTACTGATTTCAATAGAGTTAAGTTTTTCAAATATAATGAAGGTGAAGAAAGTAAATCTAAAAGGATAGTAGAGCAGTATTTTGAGAGAAAGGTTTTAAATTACATTGAGCAAGACAAGAAAGCAGGTAGAGATGTAGAAGGAAATGATTATGTGGATGTAGATTTTTTGATGAACCTGATGAATACCCAGTGTGAGAATTGTAATGAACCGTTGGTGATAGATTTTGAAGATGGCAGGATTTCATCAAATATAACCTGTCAAAGAGTTAATAATGATATTAGCCACTTCAAGGACAATGTGGTTGGATATTGTGTGTCTTGTAATTGTGCTTTTTCAAATAAAATATCATTGTGAAAATGGTGTTAAAAACTGTTTATTTATGTATAATAGTGTTTAGTATGGTAAAAACCAAAAACTACCAAAATGGCAAAACTTACCAAGTTGTTGATATTGCTTGTGAGCAATGCTACTTCGGTTCAACAATAGATACATTACCAAACAAATTTAAAGGACATAAAACAGCTTACCAACAGTATCTCAATGGAAACAAGAGAAAATACACATCTTTATTTGATATGTTTGATAAATTTGGAATTGAAAACTGTAAGATTGAATTCGTAGAGAACTATGTATGTTCAAGCATTGCCGAACTTCACAAAAGAGAAGGTTATTACATTAAGAACAATGACTGTATCAACAAAAACATATCAGGAAGGTCAGCAAAAGAGAGATACAATGACAATCCTGAACCCTATAAAGAAAAAAACAAAAACTATTACCAAAACAATAAAAATGGGCGCATCAAAGAATACAATGACAACAAGCGAGAACATTTGTGTGAAATCAAACGCAGTAATTATCATAGCAAAAAAACATACTACCAAGAACAACAAAAAGAATATCAAAAGAATAATGCTGACAAAATCTATGAGAGAAAATCTAAAAAGATTACCTGTGATTGTGGTTGTATCATTTCATACGGATACAAAGCACAGCATTTTAGAACAAAGAAACACCAAGACTGGTTAAATAAACAAAATGAAGAATAAATGATATAATTTTAATATGTATTATATCATCTATTCTATAATGAGTGAAAGTAAGAAACAACAAATTGTTCGTGATATTTATTTTTATAAAGCGGGCTATGGTTCAAGAAAGACCACATTAGAAGATGCTAAAAAGAAAGAACCTACAATCAAGAAAGAGGATGTTGAACAATTCTTTAGGAAAAATGTTGAGATAAAAGCAAAGCCAAGAGGGCATAATTCCTTTGTAGCACCTCATAACAATCATACTTATCAAATTGATTTGTTTTTTTATGGGGTATTATGGTTTTGATGAAGAACGAAAATATAGAGGAGGATTGGTTTGTATTGATGTTTTAAGCAAGTATGCCGTAGTAATTCCAATTGTAAGCAAGAATGAACCTGATGTTATTGAGGCAACTAAAGAGGCATTAAAAAGAATGGGAAAGAAACCAAAAATCATATACAGTGATGATGAAAAAGCAATAGCAGGAGGTGATTTTAAAGACTATATTGAAGGTGAGAATATTGAGTTGTATAGGACAAGGGGTCATCCTGCTTTTGCTGAAAGATTTATACGCACCTACAAAGATATGCTTTTTAAAAGAGTTGAAGCAGATGAAAAGAAAGGAAGAGAACATATCAAATGGACAGACTACAATTTAGAAATAATGCTTACATACAATGATAAAATGAAACACTCCGCTACAGGTATGACACCTAATCAAGCAAGGAAGGAGAAAAATGAATTTAGGGCAATGCTGAATGTAGCATCAAAGGCAAAGAAAGAAAGAATATACCCAACATTAGAGGTGGGAGACAAAGTAAAGATAATGAGAAAGAAAGCAATTACAGAGAAAGAAAGAACTTCCCACTGGCTAACAGGTTATTATGTTGTGCAAGAGATTGCAGAAAAGTTGAACCAAAAATATTACAAATTAACTGATTACCCAAGATTGTTGATGAGGCATGAACTTTTAAAGATTTAGTGTTTTTAGAAAGCCATGATGCAACCATGAGATGGTTGATTTGATGTGCTATTTTGATTTCAGGGTTTTGTGTTTTGTCCTTCATTTGTTTTCCCCATGATTTTGTGCTTGACTGGGTCATTGGCTGGGATTACTCTATGTTCCTTTGTCCTTCTACTCCGCCATGGCTTCGTCATCAATCTCTTCTGCATCCTGTTGTCGGGGCGCTCAGCTGTTGGGAATATGTCAGTCGGAGGTTTGAAGCCACATGTTCTTGGAGAGCTTGACCTTGGAATTTGTTTCAATTTGAGCACCTTTAACATTCTCAATTGGAAAACTACAGAAATTAGCTCTTTCAGTTTGCGCTTGGAATTTTGTGTCATTCTTCAGCATCTTTTGCTCAAACCACTCGGGCACGCTTTTAAGCTTAGGGGCGTGGGCATGTTCATGGCGCAAATCCGTGTTGTCGCTTGCCTCATCATCCTCATCACCCTGGCATTGAGCGCCGGAGCTGCAGACACCAACGGCACAGACCATCGCCCCTCTGACACCCGCAGGGCATATCAGTCCAAGGCAGCCAGTACTTCTGGGCACTTGCCTTGTGAGCGTGGATTTTGTCCTTGATGAGACAGGTATCACTTTCATCACGCCAGTTGCTCGCCAATTTTGGTGACGAAGAAGGTGCGTGAGAAGGCTTGCTTCGCCAACAAGGCGACTTGCAAAACAGTGCTTTGAGCAGATGATTAAAAAGGTCTGTGTGTAAGTAGGCATTGCTTCAATAGATCATTGATGCCAGTGAGCCTTCAAAAGATTGATATTCAGTGCATTCATGCCTGATACAAAGACAAACCCTTCCAAAAACTTGAGAAGACTGGCACCAACAAGTCTGGGACGCACACCACACAAATCTTCTTCACTCCATTTCGCCCCAAAAGTTCGGATTGCTGTGCCATTTACATCGCGCTGAGGTTAAGAAGACATGGTTATCAACAAGTTCATGAAGGGCGGTTCGGGCATGGTAATTGCGGTAATTAAAGAGATTTGAGATTGAGAAAGATGTGATGCTGTTGTTGTATGCTGGTATGTATGCTGGGGGGTGGGATAGTATATTGGCTGGGGGTTGAGGCTTCCCCTTCGGGGGAGACTGTGGTAAATAATCCCATAATCTTCATGATAAATGATTATGAAAATTATGTTGGTTATCCCCATAAATTTGAAGTGATGATTATGAAATTCAAACTCAAAATTACAAGAGGCACACAAACACTTTGAAGCATGAGGAGAATTTGAAGAAGAATGATAGTTAAATTTCATTTTATAAAAGTGAAATTGTCTTTTGTTTTGGTTTGCTGTTATGTTTTTTTGGTATAGTCTTCTTTATGGTTATTGTATTGTTTAGGTTGTTTGAGTTTTTTTGTTTTGTTGTTATGATTTATGTTATTGTTTTCTATAAGGTGGAGCAGACCTGTCCGATTGTTTATCCTGTTATGATTTGGTTGTATAATATGTGGGTGGGTCAGGGAAAAAGATAAGACAGGTCTGGCTTCATAGATAAATTATTTCATAATTTATCTCAAAGTCCATTCCTTAGGTATAGGCTTTACAATTGGCTTTTGAATGAGGTGAGGTGTATAGGTGGGTGCTATGATTTATGGTATAGTCTTCTTTATGATCTATTGTATTGTTTAGGTTGTTTGAGTTTTTTTTGTTTTGTTGTTTTGTTGTTATGATTTATGTTATTGTTTTCTATAAGGTGTTGCTCCCCTGTCTTTGGTATTAACCCCATAGAATTTGCTTGTATAATAATGTGGGCGGTTAGATGAGAAAGACGGGATTGCCTATGGCTAACTGATATATATATATATATAGAAATATATATAGAAATATGGAGGTTTAACCAACAAAGATAGGGATTGAATTGGGATTGAATTGGGATACAATGTGGTGCTGGTGAAATCCATGGTCAACGGGTTGTTAGGATCTAGCGGAATCTGGTTGCATGACTTGACCAACAGTAACCTGACATTGGTCTATTTCCCATAGCTATTTGAGTGTAGCAGAGGGTATCTGATTGGTGGTTTGGAACCATGGACTTTTATGACTTTCCATCATATTGGGAATGTCATCATCCCCACTGACGAACTCCATCATTTTTCAGAGGGGTAGGTCAACCACCAACCAGTTATATATATATATATTAGCTATTGAACATGGACATAGAAATAGTGAGTTTTCCCATTAAGAACGGTGATTTTCCAAAGCGACCATGGCCATGAAATCAGGAGGTTCCGGTGTCCATGGCCGTGGGCTTTCCCACCACGGATCGCAACGGTGCGCTTGGCGGAACAAAGCGCACCAGTTGAGCAGTGTTCAAAGCCCTGGTTGATGATTATATATATATATTATATATATATATTATATATATATGATATATATATATACATATACATAGTATATATATATACATATACATATATATATATACATAGTATATATATATACATACATATATATATATACATAGCATATATATATATGTATATATGTATGCTACCCAATCTGTTGGGGATTATCACAATCCATGGACGGGAATTGCGTTCTTGACCAGGCAGTATAAAGGGACTACGAGGGTTTTGAACACTGCTTAAGTATGGATTTCATGTTTGGGGAAACCATAGAAACGGTGGTTTGATATTGGAACCATATTTTGGAATATGATATCTGCACAGGATGATTGGTTGGATGTATTTGGTTATTTGGATTGACGATTTATTTGGTTTACCACATTTGTAACTACTATTACTATTATTATAACTACTACTATTGTTACTTTGATTACTACTATTATTACGAAAATTACTACTATTACTATGATTGCAATATAGTAATCATAGTAGTAATATTAGGAATGGTGTCAATATTTATTGTAGTTATTCATAGCAATATTAGGAATGTTACTATACTACTACTACTACTACTCCTGCTGCTGCTGCTGCTACTGCTACTACTACTACTGATATTTTTATGATTACAATAATACTGTAATATTATTATTATTAATTATTATTATATATAAAAACTATTATATTGCTATATTATTTATTGGAATAGTAATATAATATTTTGATCACTACTTTGATTACTACTAGATTTTTGTTTAGGGTAATTACTAGATTATTTCTATATTACTGTAATTAGTATCCCAATGTTACCATTATTATGATTAGATTATATTATTTCTATATTTCTGTTATGATACTATAAAAAATTACTGGTAATTATACTATTATTATATTGTACTATTATATTACACTAACTGTAATAATATGATCATACTATAATTAATTGTACTTTAATTTACTATTATAAAAAACGATTATATATTATTACCCCATGTATAGTAAGTAATATTAAAGTTATAGAAAAATATTAGTTCTATATTACCCCAATGTTACCCCCAGTTATAAATCGTTCTTTTTTTTACACCATTTGTAATAGATAAACCATCTATTTCTATGGATCATGGCTTCCATGGCTATTCTAATGTCAATATATATTAGTTCTATATTATTACCCTCTGGTAATTTAACGTAGCTATTGAACATGGCCATAGAAATAGTGGATTTTCCCATTGAAAATGGTGAATCGTTCCATAGTTTTTTGTTAGTTTACCAGAGGGTATATGTCCCATTGGCTTCCATGGATTATACTATTAGTAATAATTGGGGTAATACCCAATGTATAGTAACTAATATTAAAGTTATAGAAAAATATGAGTTCCAAAAATTACACCATTTCTAATAGATAAACCATCTATAAATCTTATTACTGCAATTATATTACTTCTATATTACCCCAATGAACTAATATATTAGTTCTATAGATTATTACCCAATATTACCCAATATATATATATATATTACTTCTATACCCCAATAATTAGTACTTCTATATTACCCCAATAATATTTATATTATTACCCAATAAATATTGGTGTCTTCCTCGGAATGGAGGTCTTTGGACCTGGCCCGTGCGGCGCCTGGATGCGGATCCTTTGGATTCCGGGGCTTCCGTGCGCCGGGAAGCCCGGGAATTGTCAGGACAGGTCACAACGGACGGGGGGCCCCGAGAAACCATAGGAAAATGACCATTTAACCCACCAAAAATGGTAGTTGAATGGGATTTATAGCTGATTTATAAAATTTTATAGTAGCTAAATTTACTAACTTGGTGAATTCTATGGTTTATGGTAGATAGAACGGACTGGTTCACGGCGTTTGTAAAGCAACTTAAAAATAGAAGGCCCCACTTAGTAGGACAGTCACGTATTTTTTTTATGTGGATGTAATGAGAATATACTGGGGATAATGATAACCAAGAACACTCTCATTTGGGTCTTTTTTACAGGTTGTATACCCTCAATGGCAACGTTCATGGGAGGAATATGGAATCGAGACACCAACCAAAAGGAACAATTGACCCGGGGGCCCAAAAACTCAAATTCGAGCAACTACCAAAACAATACAAAAGGAACATCCTGCCAAAATAGTGATGTTATATTATCTATTTCTATTATGTACCCTCCTGTAAATTAACATGACAATTCATTATTTCTTTTGTAGGTAATCATCGAACTAACTGGTTGATTTTCCATATGTTAGTCTACCCCAGGGTATCTGTTTTGGGGGTTGCTACACCGCAGCTTTTCCGCTGACCTGAGGCTATACTTCCTACCCAACTGGATATGCTGGCAGCCAGGGCCGGTGTCCTCAGGCTTCGCCTTTTTGTTCGGGTGCCCTTCTGTTCACCCCAAAATAGCTGGGATTCATGGCAAATTCATGGATGGTCATCCCAAAAATGTGGTATGATTGGTTTTGATCTGTCCCCATTTGAAGTTTACAGATCAGCAAGTGATTTCAGATGTTTGAAACTTCAGGTCGCTGCTGCCGTGGCGACACCACCTCGGGAACGAGAGTGCCTCGGTGGAAAATGCCCGTCGCAAACCCATATCTACAAGGATTGATCAAATTTTTGTGTTCATATTTGTAGTTGACACCGGATAGATGGATGCGCAATCAGATAATCAGATCAGTTGTTGGGGATAAAATGGGATAAAACCTGCACATTGACCCAGAGTTGACATTTCGCCTGAGGCCTATCACTGGGACACCCTGAAAGCACTCTTTCAAGAGGCGCCAGGGGAGGAAATGAATGTCAGGTGGCTAAGGTCCTGGCGCCTCTTGTGGGCTGGAACAAAAGATGCCAATGGGACATATACCCTCTGGTAAACTAACATAACTATGGAAAATCACCATTTTTCATGGGAAAATCCACTATAAATGGTGATTTTCCATAGTTATGTTAAATTACTAGAGGGTATCTAACAATAAAATGGGATAAAATGTAAATGTCATGGGAATACGGATATATAAAATTATATAAATTCAACACTATAATGAGAATGTCATGGGAATATGATTACAAAATAGCTTTATATTGTCATTGGCCCAGAAGTTTCAAAGCACCGTGACACCATTCCACTGACCGAGGTCGTATCGTGGAGTCAACTCAAATCTCCCCATGATTGACTCACCTTCTATATGGATACCCTCTGGTAATTTAACGTAGCTATTGAAAATGGCCATTAATAGTGGATTTTACCTATTAAAAATTGTGATTTTCCATAGTTATGTTAGTTTATCAGATGGTATCTCAGCAGGAACAGCGGCATGTTGAATTTTCTATCTCAAAACTCAAACATCTTCTTGTTCTGCCGATGTTCTGTGGTTACGTCTCAGTTCTTGTTCCACTTTTCCTTGGGCTCAAATGACCACATTCGGAATGATGGCTTTCTACCCAATTTTTTGCGAGCAGTTTTGCTCCGGCAATCTCACTTCTATCTCAGAACTTTTGCCGTTTTCTTCGCTGTTTTCTGGACTTTTGTTGCTTGATTATGTATATTGCTGGTTAATGTTCGTTACATCAATACTCTCTCTCTCTCTATGTATATATGTATGTATATCTGTATATGTATAGAATATAGTATATATAGTGTATATAGTATATATAGTATATATATAGTATATATATAGTATATATAGTATATACAGATTATGTATCATTTAATATCCCATGCTACCCCCCCATTCCATTCCAACGAGATCAGAGAAATGCGCCAGGTGGAGTGCTGGGACTCTGTGAAGACCATGCCGCAGTTGCTGCAGAGGCGAGTCGTCTGATGATTTCTGATGAAAAGGTGCCCAGAAATCCTCAGAAATCCTCAGAAATCCAATTGCCCAGAGTAAATTACGATCCCCAGAGTTCTTGTTCAACATAGACTTGGAAGTTTCACATGAGATTCACCATTTGACGGCAACAAAAAGTGCATGATTTCCTGGGCTTTTCACCGTGAACTCAGGGAGTTGCTCAGGTTGGACTTCCTTCAACGTGATCGCCTGGGGAGCGGTCGTGCAGCTGCCACCTGTGCGCACGACGTCGAACTAACCTTTCAAGCTGGCTGGGCCATCCCTTCAACAAATGGAGGTTTCAAGCTGGGACAAATCATCTATAATCGGTTGGTGCTTTGGAACATAAATTTTATTTTCCCATATATTGGGAATAGTAACCCCAGCTGACTTTCATATTTTTCAGAGGGGTGGGTCAACCACCAACCAGATAATGTGGAATCTATAGGAGCCGCCTCTGGTTAATTTAGATGGAAAACATGATGATTTGCCGAAAGCTATGTTCAAAGACCAGAGGGTAATCTATGTTTTCATCTGGTGTCTTGTGACTTTGAGCTGAGAATTTATGATTTTACTTTTTTGACATGAATGAAGACTGCCTGATTTATTTCGAGTGGCTTGATTTCCGGCTATTCAGAGGTGGTTTCACCTGAGACCTTTTTCAATGAGGTACTTGGTCCACCATTAGTCGACCTCATGAATCTTTGGGAGGGAATCCATTCACGGTACATTATATGATATTATATCATAACATATATCATCACCATTTCCGGATCATCCTACCTGACGAACTAACGTTAACATCTGCCGCAGCTTCCGCAACCAGAGAGGTATGGTACCACCGCTGGTGGAGGATGACTATGTAGGACCATCGCACTTGGTGCCTCGTTCGGAGTTGCCACTGGGCTGTTTGGACAGTTGTCAGGTTGATGGTTTCTGTTTGGATGCTGATTCCAATTTCTGTTTGGATGGTGCTGAACGGTATGCATTGTGCAGATGTGTCCACCTCAAGATTAAAGCATGCGAAAACGCTCTAATTAATTATGTTTGATTGCCGAGCAGGTTTGCAGAGTGGCTACGTGTGAAACAGAAAGGACTGAAGTTTGAATCCAATACATATCTTTGACAATCAATTTTGACCATGTTGCCCTGGAAATACAGACTCGATGTCCCCTTGAGACAGGGAACACATTTCGAGCTTCCGATGGCTACGACCTGACGCGCCCAAAGGCCCAAAGATTGGCACCCGAAGATAGAAGAGCTGGGTGCGGCTTCTCAAAGGGTAGGTTTCGGGATGGTTGGGGTGCTGGGAATGGCGACCTGGGGAAGGTCAAATCCTATAATGATTTTGGCCTAGTTAGATGGCTGGGAGGGCCCCACCCTTGCATCATTTTAAGCAGATTTCAGTGAGAATCTGCAGGGGACCCCCATAGTTCATGGCAGAATCCATGGTTTCCCTACTTGAAAATGCAGTTCAGTGAACTACGTGGATGTATAACATTATATAACCATAGTTATAGGGATCCCATCTCCCAACTTCCAGGGGGTATTTTTCTTCGTGGTTAGGCTGCCTTCACAACCTTCACAGTAACCTCAGTTGCACCCCGAATCACTATGTTGGATGGTTAAACCACCAGAAACCATGGTTTAATGAGTAAGCTGTAAATAAATATATACATATATAATATATATTTAAAAACATACTTCTGATATAATTTATGATGGTTTGTGATAAATAAATTTATGAAACCATGGTTTTATAACCATGGCAAGTATCATAAATCAGCTGTAAATCCCCGTGGCGCCGGGCAGGGTACCGCCAACGGAGCCCCATGACCATCCGCTGGGAGCCGTCCGCACTTTGGCGGCCAAAATGGGGAAGATCCCGATGGAGTTCGATGTGGAAAATCCACGAAGATTTACCCTCTGGTAATTTAACATAGCTATTGAAAATGGCCATTAATACTGGATTTTACCATTAAACATGGTGATTTTCAATAGCTATGTTAAATTACCAGAGGGTATGATTTTCAACAATGTCTGTAATTATGATTCATCCAAGTAACATCGAGATAATAACATGAATCAACTTGATATAACATTGATATAACTATATTTGATAGTACTTACTTATATATGTATATGTATACAGCCTTGCTGTGTTTGACTTTTTGGGAACCCAGAACTGGAATGTCCGATTTAATTCAATCTTGGGCTGGACGCTCTAGAAACGCATCGGCAGTTGTTCCTGTTCCATCAAAAGGGTGTCAGAGCAACTTGCAACATCCACAATATCAGTTATTATCATACTAAACATATATATGGGGATGGGTCCAAACCTATTTTTGCAATATTAAGGGAATAACCATCCATTCACCAACTATTTTTGGATAGGGGACTGTTTTGACTGCCATATGGAACACCAACAATGCCTCTATATCCAACAGCAAGAAAGGACCTGCAGCGAAGTCAAAGGCAGCCTCTAAATAATACACTCCGGCGATCAAACACGGCAGTGGAGAAGCACCCAAGAAAAGTTCAATGATGCGCCCATTTCGATGTCCATTGATTGGGGATTTCGCAGCTGGCCATGTTTGATGTGCACCCATTGGCTTCGCGCTGGTGATTCACAGATTCGAACTTTGTTCCACGAAGATTTATGACATCCATTGGCATTAGCATGTAGGTGTATAATTACATATAGTCTAATAGTAATAATGGATAATAGCCTGAGGACGTGCTGTCATTGTTGGACATTGCAACGAATATGTATCAATATTGATCAATTTCACATATCATGTTGTCGCGAAGTCATTTAATGGGATTTTATAGGGATTTAATGGGATATTAATGGGAGATACCCGGCCTGGTAATTTGTCAATTGGACATATCAACCCCTTCGAGACCCCTTGACTTACCAGGATGAGCTGGTGGATGACACACCCAAGGCGCACGGGGCTTGGATGAGGCAATCTCCATAGTAGAAATTCGTAGATGTTTCTACAAAGTGGGGCCCCCGTTCGATAGCTAAGTTGGTGAACATAACTCCAATTTCGCTATGGTTTATGGTAATAACTATAGTATTCATGGGGTCTATAAACCATCTTATAACTGGGGGGCCCCACATTGTACTATGTTCTACTTGGGCTAAACCGCCAAGATGCGTTTCTTTTCCCCCGGTAAAGCGTGCTGTAACACTTGCAGTTCACAATACTTTGGGGCCTCCGAGGATGGTTGTTTATTTTTAGCCCATGAACTACAGTTATTTCAACATGGTTTATTGAACTGGTTGAAATGTTGTTTCAAGGATCTACTATATATATATATAGATAGATAGATAGATAGATAGCCTATATTAGTCTAGTTGCGTAGGAACGTAGCCCATTTTGATGGATATTTTTCTAACGGTTTCTGTGAACGTTGGAGCCCACGGGAGGTCATGGTGCTGTATTGCGGCCCACTGGATCTCAAGCCGCAGATGCAGAAATTCAGGTCACTGTGGGTCCCCTGGTTGGTCATGAGCTGCAAAAAAAGGATAGAACATGTTGGAGTTATATAAATAAAAGTCTAAGGTAGTGGGGATGACAAAAGAACATTCAATATGTTCGTTTTTTTTTTTTTGATTGCTAGAGTTCATGTTGGTTCTCAGCCATGGTGGACCTGGTGGAATGTGAACATTGATTCTATGTAAGGGTTTGATAACCATAATTTCGTGGTAAATGAATTCCTACAGCTTAGAATTTCAGTAGAGACAGCCAGTGAATTGGCAATACACTTAAATGGAGGTGTCCTAAAATGTGGGAGCCACCAATCATCCAAAACTTGTGATGTTTAATAGGAACACCAATGGTTTTGGGGTACCGTACCCCTATTTTAGGAGACATTTTAGGAAACATCCAAATGTTGTCAATGATCATCTGAAATAGAATTGGTGATCAACTTAAAGTATTGACACATAGAAAGATCATGGGTACATGTACATTACCCTCTGGTAATTTAACATAGCTATGGAAAATCATCATTTTTAATGGGAAAATCCACTATTAATGGGCCATTTTCAATAGCAAACTGTTAGTTTACCAGAGGGTAATTATAGATCATCTGAATTGGCTGAACGAGACTAGAATAATGGTGAACCTTGTAGATGATTTGCCCATCCATGGCTCACATCTTCATCCCCAAATCCGAAAATGTTGCCAGAGTGGTCGACTCATGAATGTGATTGACCTTAGGCTTTGAGCTTTAGTAGAAACGACCCAAACTACATGCCCATGGAGTAAAAAACATATGAACTTGAAAGCCTTTGCAGTAGCAAGCATCCAAGAAAGCGGTGAAATTGGGTGAGATTCCATCTGCGGGAGAAAGGTTGGTATCGTTTGTATCCTTGAGACCTTGTGCTGAATCCCTTCAGCACAAACTTTGGACAACCTACTTCCATTTTCACATGAAAATTCGTTGATTCATGACACATCAAAATAGCTGTAAAGCATGGAGGTTTGACCCACCCTGAAATGGGAATACCGCAGGGCTCAAGGGGTTTTAGGAGCTCAGCATGGGGAGGGCACCCGGGTCAGCCCGTACTTTGTATATCTCATATTTGACTAAGGTTATGCTGGATGTTTGTTCGATTCTTTGGAAAAGGATCGTGCTGAAATTGTTCGCCACTCGTGTGTGGGTTTGATCCAAATTAGGTTCAGAATCAGATATTTGGTAATGAGTTGGCCATTCAAAATGTCAACCCGAAAGCAGTCACTCAGCTTTCACGCTTTCACCGTGCCTGCCAAGCCACATCCCAACTAGTTATGACCAGACTCAGAAGGGCTTATCCCTCTGGGAGACGTTGTCATCGGCAGTTTTTTTTCGGAGCCATGGCCCTGTTGTCGGATCGTGTGCGTGAAGCCTTCAAGACCTGGGATACTGAAGGAGATGGCACCATTACCAAGACTGGCCTGAAACTTTGGCTTGGAGATTCTGGTAGGAACATTTGGGACTTTCAAAAAAAAACATAAAAAGGCGGGGGACTTTGGCTTTTTTCTGGGACTGAAATGGGAACGTTCGAATTGCCAAGACTGCTGGGCGGTGTCAGAGACAATACTACCCCATTCTGCAATCTCGGGATGTTCTGAACCGCACAGGTACTGGGGAGATCAGGTTTGGCGTCAGGTGGTGTCATCTCAAGTTGTTTCACCAGAAAATTTCGGAAGGAGACTAATATGTATAGTTTCGAAGTTTACTAAAGAATGATTCGGCACAATCATCAATGGAGCTGGCTGGGTGACATGTTCAGAACTGTCCCCTCCCATTGGTTCGCAGACGCCACTGGAATGATAGTATCTTGGGACCCACATGGCTATATGATATCTGGTTATTTATTTCAGGTTGGTGAATTCTTGTAATTTAATTTAATTTATCAAGATAAGACATGATAAGACCGTGTTCCGGGAAAAAAAACACAGGCTAAGATCTTCAAGCAGATTTCCGTTTCTTCTTTTTTTGTTGCATCGGAAGGCCTGGTAGGATGACTCAGCCATGGCAGACCAAACATGGGATGGTGATGAACAACCATCCCAGGACTTTTCAGGGAACGCTTAGAGGAAGCCTGAAGATTTGGGGGTAAGACTTATGTTTACTGTTGATGTTTTTTCCCCCAAAACATAGAAAACACATGAAGAAAAATGAGCTTGTGGATTGATTGGTACCCCTTTTAAGTTTAGATAGCCATTTCTTCAGACGTTGGGTGAATGACCATGGCACCACCAACCCTTGGTGTCTTAAGGATAGGGGATAGCCCGGCCGGTTTCCGGCGTTTTTTACGCTGAGGATCCGCCTCTTAAGAAAGATTGCTCCACAAGTGACCGAATCAGACGCTGGCGATTTCGTTGGGGTTCGTGTTGAAGGGAAGTTGGAGGAAGATCAGGGCACTTACTTATATATATTTTATAGATATAGACTGATATAGACTTTTGCGCTTGTAGTTGATAATGATCTTATTTTGTTACAATGGAAAGTGGTTCCAGTTCAAATCGTTTGTCGTAATCTGAACATTCGGGTATATAATAAGCGATGAGGCTATGATGTCATATCACCAACCCAACCAAGCATTGTGCGATATATATATATATTATTGCAGAAGATTTCGGGAAGATACCAGCCAAAATGGAGACATAATTTTGAGCAATCTCTTGCTGTTGGAGATATCCGATTTTGGTTCTCTTTTGTGAAACTCATGATTATTTTTGCTAGTGGCTTCAGTCAAATGCCTGTTTTGGTTTTACAGAAATTCAGTGCTAAGTGATTTCCCCTGTTTCTTTCCCTTGGTTTCTGCTTGAATCATCATATTTTTTGTATGTTTTAGAACATCCCATTCCAAAGTTTTCCTGGGTCCAGCCCCAAGGACCTGGAGGTTCTCTTCGAAGCGGCGGGAGCTACAGATGCTCCGCCTGGGTCGGTGAAATATCTAGAGTTCATCACATATCTTTGGCCTCTTGGGCAGCAAAAGTAATGGGGGTAAAACAATGTCATACACCAGCCATTTGGGAATGGTTTATTTATACCACCTATTTATGGTGATTTGGGGGATGGACGTGGCACAGATGGTTTTTTTGTAGTTTTTTTTGAAGGGAAAGATAGCGTTTTTTTGCTGCTTAGGGATGTTTTATCTATGGTTTTTCGAATGGAAAAGGGAATCATTATTGAGAAAGACATCAACCAACAACTTGGAATTGCAGGGTGTCTTTTGAAAAAATAGAGTGGTAAATCCACCATTTGGGGGATTCCACTATTGGGGATGATCTTGGGGATGGCTACAACTTTGGGCAGCCACACAGGGATTAAACTTTGACCATCTATTGTTGGCGTCACTTTCTGTAATCACCAAACATGTCACTATTAGTTGATATTAGGTAACCTTCAAACTAATCAAACTAGTTCTTTGGTATTACCCTCTGGTAATTTAACATAGCTATTGAAAATTGCCATTTATAGTTGATTTTCCCATTAAAAATGGTGATTTCCCATAGTTATGTTAGTTTACCAGAGGGTACAACATTTTTACATGATGGCAACCTCATCCACCCAAATTTGGTATACCGGTATACCGGTATGGCCTTTCCTCAACAACATGGGGGTAGTCTGACGTAGCTAAAATCACCATGTTTTTTTGGGAACTCATCATGTTAACCATCTACAAATGGGCCATGGCTTCCATGGGCTATGTTAAATAACCAGAGGGTATCATTATATAATATACAATCAGCACGGTGGTTTAGCCCTTCACATATCTTGGCTAACCTTGGCTAACCTCACAGATTGTTTCCTCGATGTTTAGTGGATCATCGTCAGTACAAAGCGGGGGCCCCGTTTACGATAGCTAAGTTGGTTTATAAATCCAACAACTATGGTTTATGATATTTATAGGGTTATAAACCAACAAATATAACAACAACTATATTTATGGGGTTGCTAATCCAACAACACGTATAGTATTCATGGGGTTTATAAACCAACGTTCACATCACTGGGGGGCCCCACATTGTAGCTGGTTCGTAACCATAGATCCAAGATGATGCAACTTAAGTTATATGACAAGTCCAGGCATCGGGGAGTGATCACAGGTCAGTTTCTCCAGCACCTATTTTGATTGGTTCGAGTCCCATATTTGGTTGATGAGTTATACTACCTTCTCCTACAGGTATCGTTATAATCCATGAAGTAAGAATCCCTCTAAACCAGACCGTTCTTGATCGAATTATACTAATGTTCATGTAGAAAAAACATTTTCAAAGGTGATGGCCTACTACATTCAGTCCCCATTCTAGATGGTGATATCATGTTATATCCCAGTTTCGGTTGGTTCATACCCCTTTTCTATGGTCAAAATATTTCAAAGTATTCCAAGTAAGTACCAATTCTGTTCATATCCTTTAAGGCCCCCCATGTTTGGTCAACGATATGAACCAACGAACATGTGTTACAACTGTTACCAGGTACAACCAACCAATTTTATATGTCTTCAAACTGAACCATCTGCTTGGGTTCGTGCAGTTCCAGTGAACAACAGGTGGATATGCTTCACCATCTGCTTGGGGCCCCATATCACAACAAACTTACGGGTTTTATAAGGGACCCATTAAACCATAGTTATACCATAGTTATGCCGTATATACCCCCCCAAAAAACAACCCAACAGTTAGCTAAGTTATGTCGGAATATATTGAATAAATCACCATGGTTATACCCAGAAATGGCGTCCTAAGTCATAGGGGCACCCCCAAATCATCCATTGATGGATTTTCCCACTATAAACCATCCAGCTCTTGGGGTATGCCCGAGGTCGGATGACGAGGCCGCTCGCGCGCGAGGTCTGTGGGAAGCACCTTGGCGGTCTCCGCGCCATGGCGCTTGACGTGAGTTTGGAACAGGGGACTCCCGTTATTTGCCAATATGTGTAGATATTTGAAATACTTTGAAATACATGTACAGACAATAGTAATATATCAATATATCATATTGCATAGATACTACAAAGTGGGGCCCCCTAGATAGCTAAGTTGGTTTATAACTCCAATAACTATGGTTTATGGTACCTATAACTATAGTTAATGGGGTTTATAAACCATCTAACATCACTGGGGGGCCCCACATTGTATATCTAATTGAGTGGTAATATCCATTCGGCCCATGACATCGCCATCGGACGATTCTACAAAAACATTCCCAGAGGAGACCGCGCACGAAAATATGGATTGACCTGTAGGTTTTCGGATGATTTCGGTGTGTCCTAAGGTTGAACCACCCAAAACTTGTCTCAAGCAGGTTCTTTCTTTGGGTTTAGAGTTCCAAGCTTCTTTTTCGGACACATCCTTGAATTTTTTGTGTATCAAAGATTGGAGAACTAAGACACATGCTGAGCCAATCAGCCTTGATTCTACTGCTGTGTTGGAATGCAGGGAAACTGCGCTGTATAAAATTCTCAGAGAATCCTGAAAACTGGTTGGTGGTTTGTTGTTTTTTTTAAAATTATTTTTCCATATATTGGGAAGAATAATCCCAACTGACAAATATTTTTCAGAGGGGTTGAAACCACCAACCAGTCAAACATGGCAAAGGAAAATCCCCATTTAGTTTTCAGGATTTTCCCGGCAAGAAACCTCCCTTTCCTGGGGGGTTTTCCAATTGCCACGTTTGATGACCGGATCGTATATCCCGTATATATTATTATTATTATAATTATTATTATTATTTTATATTATTGTTATTACTATTATTATTATTACTATTATTATTATCATTATTATTATTATGTATTCCATCATTATTCCACTATGATCCCTATCAAAATCAAACCCTATGAAACACATATACAAAACCACCATATTTACTTTTCAGTCTCACCAAGTGGTTTCGTTGTAGTGACAAGTGAGGTGGTTGAACCATCAAGTAGAAGGCATCACATCATCCCCAAGCATTTTCTCTGCTTTTTTTGTCAATGATACTAATGTTTTGGTGATCCCCGAACATATGTATGTCGCATGTCATCTCCCCCAAATATATAAAGATATGTACACATACACACACATATATATATATATAGATATGACATATATATATGATATATATATATATATGATATATACATATAGATATGACATATATATATGATATATATATGATATATATATATATGATATATACATATAATATAAATATATATTTGATATATATATGATATATATATATATATATGATATCTATATATATGATATATATATATATATATATGATATGTATATATATATGATATATATATGATATATATATACATATGATATATATATATATGATATATATATATATGATATATATATATGATATGTATATATGATATATATATATATGATACCTATTGCGGAGCTCCCACCCCGTCCCAGGGGCGCAACACATGCGGGCTCTTTTGTCCTTGAACAAATGGTCCCTGCGGTGAAGACAATCCTGTATGAAAGGAAGCAGTCACGTGTGCACAAAAACAAGACCGGTAAGAATCTTTCAAGCGCTTCCAGCGCTTCATAGTTTTCAGGTAAATGGTTCAGATTCTATGGAGTCTTTTGGTAGAAATCTCAAGTTTCCACTCACTTGAGCTGACGGGCAATGCGGGAGCCCGGAAGATATCCATGCTGAGGAGCCTTCTGAGCATAGTACGCCTTCAAATACTCGATGAAATCACGGAAAGGGGCAGACAAGTCCTGGCGAGTCTGCCAAGCGAGCATCTTTTCACAATAGCTGGAAATCTCTTGTTTGGACGAAGTCACCAGCTCATGATAGCTCATTCCATCTGCAGCGAACTTTCCGGCGCTCAAAACGGTACGACCCCACTGTTCGACGGAGTCAATGCCCTCTGGAAGCTTGACAGCGTCGGAGTGAGATGACGGCTCCTGCTTTGATGTCGCCTTGGTCAGAGGCAACACCGGAATCTGAGCTTTCTCCGGGGTCTCGTCACGGCGACGCTTGGATGCGTCATTCATGGCTCCAGATAGATCTTCATCCACCAGCTCAAAACCATGGTTCTCTTGGATCTCCTGCACCAAAGCGCTCATAGCGCCTTCCTCCTGCACCAAACGCAGGAGCTCTCGGATCTGGGCACGGTTCGACATCGCACGAAAACAAAGGATTGCAAAACGGAAGGCAACACCGGCAGGGTTCTGGATCAAAAGAAGGCTTGCAGACTCAAAACGTGAATTTGACAACTACCTGCTATTGCCCTACCCACTGCAGTGATACCCACATTCACTCACATGCGGCAACAACTTTCTACCAATGTCGAGGCAAGACATCGTGGAGCAAAACTGTGCTGTAATTAATTACATGGACAGTGAGCAAGGAACTCAGTTGTTTGCTGTTTTCTTAGAAGGTGCATTTCGGTTCACCCTTCGGGATCTTTCTTCAGCTTTATGTTGGAGAACTGTTTCTTCGGGGGAAATCTGATAACGAGCTCTTCTCATGCAGGATCTCAGCAAGTCCATAGGGTCACCCTCGTTTTTCGTCAGGGCATCTGCGATCATCCGGTTGGTTGGCACCCATCGGACATAGGCTTGCATGCTACGACAACTCTCTCGGATTATTACCACATCGATAGAGGTACGCTTATCTTCTATTGAGGTGGGACTAGATGGGGACACTAAGTGGTCATATAAACTCTTACAGTCGGTGACAACCAAGGGTCTACGTCTTGACAACACTTCACGACATTTCCCTATCTGGAGTGGACCATCGATGATTTCTGACAACATCAGCAACAGCCACTCTGCGGTACCTGTAGCTAAAGACATGGATTGGCTTTCAGCTCCGAGAGTGCTGGAGACTGCACGAGGAAGCTTAAAGCTACGCCACGCGGCAGGACACCAAGGGACCTCATGTCCAAGTTGCAGGTCACTACTGGTGAAACCGATGACAAAACCGGCTTGGGTGTGGTGTCCAACATTCGCCCATGCAGCATCAGAGTGGCAAACGGCTGTCAGCTTATCCACAGCAATTGGAGGAAATACAATGGCAAGTGAGGACTCAATCTTGGCTCTACGAATGGCTTCATTTGCATTGCGAAAATCCTTGATGGTGGGATTCGGAAACGACTGCTGTGATAAACTGGTTTGGACTGACAGGTCTGGGCGAGACTGCGATGCCAGCCAATTTAGGCTGCCGTTCACGGCTCTGAGTACTCTGATTTGATCAGGAGTCAAAGGGTCATCAGGCTTGCTATTTTTGGGAATGTTGATACTACGGATCTTATCGGCAAAGGAGGACATGTTCATGTGAATGGAACCATCATGCTGTTGTTCGTACCAAGCACCACAAAATTCACCTTCTTTGACTCTCCATTTTCTGTAAGGAAACCGGGACCTCAGCTTGTCAACAGCTTGCTGAAACTGTTTACCTGAACCACCCAAAGCTGTATCATCAACATGTACGCCCATGATCCCTACAAGGCTCTGATCATCTTTGTCTCGCAAAGTGTACAAGCAGGGGTCAAGTTTGCTCTGTACCCAGCCGATGTCCTGTGCCACACTGTTGAACTCTTTAAACCATGCAGCAGGGGCATCGTTTTGCCCGTACACATTTCCCAGAACCTCGATCACAGAGTCAGCTGGGACTCCTGGGATGCCTCCTGGAGGCTGTCGAGCGTACAGCGGTCTAAACTTGGCATCAAGTGGTCCAGCTTCAAGAAAAGCACCCTTAATATCACCCAGTTGAAGTTCCCATTGATGACTTGCAATGATTTGCATCAGGGTCATCCTACCAAGTTGACTTAGTGTGGGGGATTTCAGCAAGCCAGACTCAGCTTTGACGGTCAAGTCAGGGTCAAGGTGTCCTTGTAGGCACCATCTGCCTTTCACTGTGAAAGTACTAGGATCATGTGGATCGATTTGTTGGCCTTCATCAATTGGCTTGCGGGTCAAAACAAAACGGCTGCCAATAAACCTGTCTGGAAAATCCCTTTTGATTTGTTGAGCACGTTTGCCATGATGAACTCGAACCGCACAATCTTTGGCCAAAAGGGTTTCCCATTCAATCCTTTTCCCATGATCCACCATTTCCTGAACATCAGGGGCATTGTGACTGTGCGGCAGCTCTTTTGACATCTTCTTCTTCATGTACTCGGAAATCAAACATTCCGTGGATTGTTCAGCAAACGTGGTCCACAAGTCACAACACTCTT